CTGAAGTATTTTACTTCTAGCTTTATTTTGTCCTATGCTTCTGGAATAACTTCTCCAGAAATAATGCTTCCTTCATGATAGTCAGGATTTGGGGATAGCCATTTACCTGGATTGTATAATTTGTTAGTAGCTACAAGTAAAACAAATGCAATTTAAAATTCTTACTGTTTACGAAGTAAAAGTATGTCATTATTGTTGTTGCAGACTTCATGAACTCTTTTATCTGTTTATACATCTGTTTGAATTTTTTTACTGCTGAAATTTTCTTGGTTTTTGAAATAACAGTCTATCTAACACATTACACAAGCGTCTTGCTTTCTGAATGGTCATAGTGTTTTAGGTAGAGTCACAGGAAGACTGCAGAGAGGGAGAAGAAATTTAACCACACAGAAGAGATATTGATGAGTTAACTGCAGAGGGGAAAAAATATGAAAAAAGAAGAGGAATACTAGGGAACAGTGGACAGGTATCATCTCAGGCAGTAGAAAAAAAGCAGAGTTTTTGCACTGGTTGTAAATGGAAAATGGAAATAACTTAGGATTTGAAGTTGCTATAGCAAAGAAACATGTTTTTGAATAGTTAATTGTTTAAATCACAACATCTGACCCAGGCATTTCAGAACTTTTTAGTAAGAGGTCTGGAAATTTGTACCAGGTTTTTTCTCTCAATTCTATCATGAAATCTCAAACCAGAATTTGAAATTCAAAGGTTAGGCTTACTTTAAAGACAGCTTAGCATCTTCCTAGTAGTTCTGGGCTACTTCAAAGGTTGGAGTAACTACCATCACCGTTTGGCCAACATGACTGGCTAATCCTCACTGGCCTGCTCTTTAATGCCCATGGACAGCACCACTGCCCAGAATGAGCACAATACCATCTGCAAGAAGCTTCACACCTGCCCCTGGCTCGCTCCTCCCACTGGCTGCCCAAGCCTGACAAATCCCATCCCACATGGCTTAAAAGGACACTTCTTGCCAGTATGACTCCTTGTCCCTCACCTATTTTTTACTCTCCTTTCCCTAAATATTTTATGCAGAACTCTCTGTATATTTGTGTGTGTAAGACTGAGTCTGATTATCTTTTTGGGAGCTGTGAAAGAATTTTTTTTATTGCTTTGCTCAGTGACCACTGGTAGGCACAATAAAGTAGTTCTCATAGGTTGTACACATTCAATGTACAGGAATCCATAGTAATGGTCAGCCTGTAGCTGCACACATATGATAACAAATGCAGTAAAATCTGTCTATGAAACATATAGTTGATGGACATACCTAAAAGAATCTCAGACTATATTATTTCTGGTAGCCAGCTCTTCCTTTCATGGTAAAGAAGAGTTAATTTAAAATTCTAAATATGTGATGAAGAAAATTTGCTCCATCTTCTGGACTGTAGGGTAGGGAAATGGCTGGAAATTAATGTAGTAGAATTGCAGGCAATTGTTTAGACCCTGACGCTCAGTCCAAGCACATACAGCACTGTGTAAGTAGTTCCTGCTGTATCACGCCAGCAACAGTTAAAAGTTAAGTTTGTTTGTTTGTTTGCTTTTTAAAATATTACTAAGAAATTCAGCTATGAAATGTAACCAATCACGAAGTGTGAAAAATTCTGTATGTACTAGTGAGGAATTCTGCTTGCTATATTAAAATTAAGATCACCAACACTGCTGACTTTAATAAAACCTCAGTCATAAATGTTGTTAAGTCCTGAATTTCCAGATCAAATTCTATCAGTTCCTATGAAATACACCACATCTAGAGAAATAAAAGATTACAGGGGATACTGTACACAGGACTACCAGAATTGAAAAAAGCTATAAAAAACCCTAAAAATTTTAAAGAGTATAGACTATTTACTCTTTAAAAAACTCAGTAATTAGTTTTTAAACATCTCTCTTCTGTTTGTTTTGTGTACTATAAAATTTTAAGCAAATATAATAAACAGAGCTTTTTGTCATTGTTAATGCGTCACCCTTCTTTTTAGACAGGGAACAATTATTTTTCTCCTGCTACCCAGTTGCAGAGATAATGATGGGATTCTTATATTCTAGTGCTTGTTTTGGACATAACTTGTGTTTAAAAAGGAGGAACAGGATAGTGGGCCTTATTTTGGGGAAGCTTTTTTTTACAGCTCTGGACAGTTTGTTCTGTTTTACAGATTGACATGTTCCAACCCAAATGTGCAACAAATAATTTCTTAAAGTAGTGTTTAAAGAGTTAGTACCATGTGCTTACATGATCAAACCTGTACTTACAGAAGATCCACATCCCTAAGCAAAGAATTCTATGCTCTGTGGACACAGGCAATACTGGCTTTAGGAAGAAGAAAAACTTTTATGTATTTTTTACTGAATTTCAAATTACATAAGAAAAATTTGTTGAAGAAATCTGTGTTAGTAAGTGGTAAACTTTGCATTTGTATTATCCTTCCTAAAATTTCCCTGGGTCCTCATATTTGCCTGATGACACTGAAACTCATTAAACTATGTAATGTATTGTCTCTGAGTATCATTGAGAAACACTGAATCTAATTCCCATTTTGAACTGAGGCATCAGAGCCTGTGTGGGAGTCAAATGAACTGTGGTCCTACACTGTTACTGGGGAACAACTGAGCAAGCTTGAACTTCGGGGCCAGAGAGAGGTCCATCTGCTGTATCCTTCCTCCCATCCAGTGAAAAACAGGCAGTAACGTAATACATTGCAATAAACAACCTCTTTATAATTTTAGATCTGAAGAAAAATAATGGAACTAGTATCTTCATTATAAGTTTCTCTCATTTTTGGTTAGTCAAATATTCCCTGCTTCTTCTCTTCAGTCATTTGGATCTGTTAGGCTAGACGTTTTTTTTTAGCTATTTAGCAAATTGCGAAATAGGTATGTGGCTTTATGTGGTTTTTATGACCCTAAATCCCTAACTCAATGAGTAAATTGAATGAAAATGCATATGACTTTTTTTCTCCCTGAAAATGTAACACTTTTCCACAGTTATAATGAGTGTTATTTAAAGGTATGCTGTACTGTTATTTGAAAGTGTGCTGTGCTTTTATCACTATAAGACTTCTCAGCATGTGTCTGAAAATAGTTGTGCTTAATGGCTTTCATCATAAACTTTATTTTCAGGAACATTTGATAAATGATTCTTATAAGAAGTGGTTTTCTAATCTTTAAGTCACTCCACTAATCATACAGTATTTGCCTTTCTCTCACTTCAGAACTCTGTGTATAAAGGCAAGACCATACAATGGAAGTTCTTACTCAGTACATAAACTACCAGGCTCCACAGCATCACCAAGCAATATGCTATGCTCTTCCCTGTCTGGAGCTGATTAGTGTATGATCCCAAATGGCAGCTTTTACATTCTTCAAAATGCCGATCTTGTTACTTACTGGATGCAGAAAGAACACTACTGTAGACAATACGCTACGTGGCCATTCCTGTCTCACGTTTCTGCCGTGTGGGTCCATTGCAAAGGACGTTATCACCATGCAGTGGGGTTTTTCTGATCAGCTATACAGACACTGCCTATTTGCCTTGCAGGATGTGCCTGGGCAGCAGGAGAAGGTGCCTTCTTGCTGTTTCTGGGCATGCTGTGTCAGGAAGGATGGCTCATTACACTCACTCCAAGTGGGACATGAACAGCCAAGGACTGAGCAAGGAGGGAACTGGTGGAACAGGGACAGAGTAGATCCTCCTACAGGATCAGGGGACATTCCTGCAGCAGGGAGTAAACTTACAAGTTTGTTTTTCTCTGCAGATTTTTAGTATTGCTTAGAGACTATGTGGGGATTTCAAAGAATCCTGCTGATTCCTATGAAGTTCTTGCCTGCCCTCTGCTTTTCTGTTGAGAGGGTCAGTCAAAAATCTGAGACAAAGCACATTTGCATATTCATCCAAGAACTAATTCCTCCCGCATGCTTGTAGCGACCTCTTGCATTTTACACAGCTAGCACAGGCTACTTAGACATCTAAGTAAAATTAAATTTTATTGACCTAACGCTGAGATGGTGAGGCCAGGTTGGGGAGCAGGAGAGGGAGGAGACGAGCTAGGACAGGCAGAGGGCAGTGGCAGGAACCATGGCTCTTGCTGCTTTGACAGTGGAGGCTACTGCCCCACACAGTTACCCACACACCACAGTTCCCCACAGGGTCTAGCATGGCTTTCCAAGCCGCTGATGGAGGCGATGGAGGTCTTACTGACATTTTGCTGTTTTAAGGGAAAGCTTAGTTTGCCTGTGCCCTAAAGCTGACCCTACTATCTTTGTTCAAACTTTTTTCATCTGCAGGGTCAACACTTTTCTGATAACTGTGGGAAACATGTCTATCATATTTTTCATTTTAAAGGCTAAACCGTACAGACTTCTCTCCACCTAGACATATTTACGTGTATGCTGTTTTGATTTATTATGTGTTTCTTCTCATATATCTGGGTGCCTTCAAAAAGCCCTACTGTATGGATAAAAGGGAATAAGCAAACATGGAAAACAAATTATTAAAGGTTTTTCACATTCATCAGACCTGTAGATATGTAGTTTTCTGAACCATGGTATTCTTCGTTTGGAATAAATTATCTCATTATGCTCTTGCTGTTATCATCCACATCTGTCTGTAGAAACCAAAGTAATTGACCTTCCACGTTTTAAATACCAAATTTTTTCTGTTATCCTGGGATTTCCTTTTTTTTTTTTTTTTTTTTTTTCTGATATGTCTTTTTGCTATGCCTTTTTGTTTTTTTTTTACCATAATACCCTGTACAAAGTATGCCTTATCCTTAGGCATTTGTTGTGGTGTTTTTTTTTTTTTGTTTTTTTGTTTTTTTTTCGCTTTGACAACCTTAAAGTCAGGTACACTGGGCATCAGAAATGTACATTTGTCACCTTCGATGGTCCAGAAAAATTTCTGTCACATCTGAAAGGAATACTTACTGTACTTATACATGACCGTATGTGTTATAACAACTTGATCTCTCCTACTCTCTCTAATGGAAAAATCTTTTGTGTCTTACCTTGTCCAGACAGACTATCTTGGTCCGTTTCCTTGAAAGGTGGTTCTGTTATATCGGTCAGTTCTTTATTCTCCTCAGCTTCACTGTTCTCATCTCCCACTTGCAGGAGATTAGGTGGGGTAAAGCTACCCGTGGTATAAACTGCCAGCGTGGTAGCCTGCTCCACTGGAGATCAGAGCCATCAGTGACTAAGTCATTGCTAGCAGAATCATCTGCAGGAGGAGGCAAATAGGAATCCTCTGGTTTTGGAGGACTGCTAGTGCTACCCAGAGCATTGAAAGGCACTGTGAAACTTTGGTGGTCAGTAGCGATATCTTCTGTGTCTGAAGGAGTTATGTCCTGAAACGGTTCTCTGGAGGGTTTGGCAGGGAACACAGGTTCAGATGAAACAAAATTATTAAGGTCTTCAGGGGCACTGATCTCTCACTTAGCACAGGGACTCCAGTTGTAAATTCATTGACCAAGATGTCTCCTGTTTGGTCCACTGTTGCTGGGCTGGGGTAACCTAGTGGAAGTTCCACACTCATGGAATCCTCCTGAAAAAGTTTTTAAAATGCAGCTTTCATTATGATGTTTAACATTCATTGCTAAAAAGGCCAGTAATCTTCAAGGACAGGAGCTTGCAAGCAGCTAACTCAGCATAAAGTTGTGGGATGTACAAAACTTTTGGCATGTGCATGTGAACCTAATCACATTGCCTGTAATTTTAAAAATGGCCAAAGAAAGATGTCTTTCACTATTTCTGTCAATTGCTGTTCTTCTGTCATTGAGATGTATACTGAACTGGTGAGACACTGTTTACTTTGTAATTAAAACTGGAAAAGGTAATCAAGCAGGGTATTCACCTGTAAATGCTCTAAACAGTCTCTCTGTTGCAGTATAACACCACAACGTTCAACCTTATAGCATTTATAAAAGGCAGATATGTATTTTAGCACAAAAATATTTTTCTGTATATTTATGTATATCTTAACATTTTAATTTTATTTCTCCAAGAGAAATAAATAGATATAACAACTAGTATTAACTTACCAAATCAGGGCCTGCCAGAGGAATAGTGACCATGGCCTGGATATCATTATCAAAATCACTAGGTGGTATAATAGATTCTGGAAAAAAAAAAAAAAAAATTAGAGTGAGAGAGCACATATTTCAGCAGTGGCACACTGAAAACTGATCAAAACACAAACTCAGTAAAACAGTATAAAAACTGTTCTCCATCAAAAATTACTCTTAGAAATCCATATTAAGAAGTAAAAGGCATACATTTCCATTTAAACTGGCAATTATGAGGAAAACAGGAATTTTATATGCAATGTTCTTTGTACTCTTTATTTAGTGTAAATGGGATAGGTCTGCAGAGAGCTGAACCATGGATGAATGCTTAAAATCAGATGTAGTATGAACCACTCAGTTAAATCCGCATGGGCTATGATGACTCATTATATTGTGTTGTTCATTAAACCTAAATTCTTTTCAGTTTTACTCAGAGTCCACACCATTGTTACTTTCAGTGTTTTGGCTTTAGTGCCTGGTTGCTCCTTTAACCCCCTTAGAGAAGCTCTTTAAACGTACTTGCATGCAAGCTGTTTTTCTAAAACTGGTCATTAAAAATAATCAGTGGGAAAAAGTTGATTAAAATAGTTATTAAAGTGTTCTATATCCACGATTTTTTTTCTTGGAACTTTTAATCTACATTAAAATATGACATTTTATTTTTACAGGAAGTATTAGTTCATCTAAATATTTTCTTTTGGCAAGAAAATGCTGTTGTTTGTAAATGAAACAGTACAGCTAAAATTTGCTGTGAGTTTTAAGATGTTTTGGTAAAAATACATATAAAAAATATTTTAAATTATTTTCCCCATTTTTAACCCATCTAAGGCTACGCTAGCTTCGGAAAATAATTGATGGACTAGAAGGGGATATTTATTATCTGGATTATTGAATAGGATGCAGCCCTTCAACCTTCTGCTGGAGGTCTTCACACCTAGCTTGTCACCTACACTCCTCCTGTGTTTCAGAGAGCACAATGCATCTCTACAGTGTGTTTCACATCACCAATTTTAGCTTGGGATCACATGCTCTTTAAGGTGTCTGCCTCTGATTTCACTGGGAGGTCAGATATAGCTTGCTTTCAACTGAGACAGCTTTCAGTAAGGTAAATTTACGTTAGAGGAAGACCTCACTTTTTGTCTTATTGAAGAAATGTGATTGTCCATACAGGAAAATTAAAATGATATAATGAATATTCATAGTCTTGTAGTATTTCTTCCCCCCCCCCCCCTCTTATTTTTCTTGGTGTGCAAAATATCCAGCTTTTCTAAACAAACAACCAAGAAAAATAGATCTTCAATATGATTGGAAGTTAGGCTATATAATTATAAAAGCACGTTTTGCTATAGCATTTCACTCAGATCTGTGCATCCTTTGGATGTTATGCAACACTTAAGAGAATGGGATACATCAAATAAAAACAATCTGTTAGAGATGCAAAAGAGACATTACTGAAATTACATCAGTTTGAAGGGGCAACGTTCAGACTTGTGTCTGGCACTGGTCTGCCTACTGACCGTCAGTAAACTGAAGTGTTCCGAGGTCCATGGCAGGGACTGGTCTTCGTGGAGTGCTATGGCAACCAGTTGTTGAAGGTCTGTTACTGTGAGTTTAGTTGCTGGTATCTCCCTCTCTTCTTTGGAGAAAGTGGAATTTTTTCATTTTCAACCTTATTAGATCCAATAGTTGAGATGTCATCTGCTGTACCTTTGATGTCTGAGCCATCTCTCTCAAAGTTTACCACGTATCGTGCTATAGTGCTGCTTGATCTGCAAGGGGAAGATGTAAAAATGCCCAGTGCAGGAAAATCACTTACTGGCTGAGGACTGATTGTACAAACAAACAAACAAAACTATATGCAACCGTAGCATATTATCTTCTGTAAAATTACTACAAATATACTTCTTTCTAATGAGAGTGTCATCTCCAAATTACTTTTGCTCTACCTAAACCTTTTCCCTTCTATGCATAGTTTTTAATAAAAATTCCAATATTGAAGAAAATTATAAAAATGTTCTAACTTGATCCAGTTTAATCTGACTACTCAGAGACCTGTGGAACTGGTAATATAGTTTGAAGTCATTGATTATTGGTTCAAACAGTCATAAATGCGTGCTGGGATTACTAGAAGCCATAATCACCTATTAATTATGCAGGAATCTATCAAAAGGGATTAGACTTCATAAAACTACAGATAAGCAAAAAATCCTACCACATCTGGGGCAATTTTTTACTCTTTTTTGATGAGCAGCAAGAAGGATAGCTAATGTGGCAAGCGAATCCCTTTTAACAATGGGAGTTAGCTTTTCCAAGTCTGAATGAGTATGTATAGCTTCTCCCTAGATGTACTTGTTTAACAGAAGTCTCAAATTTTCACCATTATTAATACATCACTTTTCATAAATGCTAAAATCACCTAATTAAAATGAAAAACAATGAGTACATTGTAAAACATTTGTACTATGCCATGTTGCTTTTTATAATATCAAAAAACTGGACAGAGAATTTCACTTTATCCGGTATGTGCTATATATTTACATTTATATGACATTGCAAGGATTCGGGAAAAGCATTAGAAAAATCTTTCTTTTAAATTATGACTGAAAGAGAAATTGTGGGAACTGCTAGACAAATTATTCCCCAGAAGTATTTTTAAGTGACAACAGACTGTGTAACTGCTTCTATTACCAGACAAAAGCTCCCTGCTTATCAAGCTGGTAACTGGTCTCTGCCATTCTATCTGGCCTGATAAGGGAGATAACAAATCAAATTCTACAGACTTATTGAAGATAATGTGTGTATGGGAATACAGCTAGGAAACAGCAGATCAAAAATGAAAATTTAAATATGAAGTTTCCCTATATTTTTTCACATTCAGTTTATGACTGATAGAGATCTTTAGTCATCCGAATGTGAATTTTCTTAGGCCAACCAATTTTCTTCTCTTCAGAGAGATTCTGACAAAATTTGATTACATGAACAATTCAGATTAAGATGAAAGCTGTCCCTGATGCTTTATATCAAAAATTTTGTACTTAGGCAGAACACAAATCAGTTCACTTTGTCACATCAAGATAAAGAGCATTTATTGATGTATCTCTGTATATCTAATAGTCTATAAAATGATTAATCATAGTTATGAATTACAGACAAATTACCCATCTTTTTCCTTCTTCTGTCTTCATTTCATCACAGAAGAAAGGGTGTGATAAAGGATTGCAAAAGAAAGAAAAACAAAGATTCATGTATATTGGTAAATCAGTCATTCATACATCAAAAACATTTTTTGACAATTTATCTTACGTGTGTCATCTGTAATTTTAATCTCTGTGTGAAAATGACAGCCTACCCTCCATCATTTCACTTTTTACCTTCCACACAATGGGAATCTCCATGTTTTGAGTGGGGAAACGGGAATTTTACTGTACTCTGATAGTTTGAAATATCTGCTTACATATTTCCCACTACAAATGGTGCAATCTGAGCACTGTCATTACTAATCTATTACCTTTACGGTGTCAATGAACACTTGTGACAGTAGTAGCAACTATTATTGTTACCACACATGGTGCCTACTCAGATCCTAGTCACGGGGGTAACTTAATCTATTAATTACCTTTGGAGGACATGCCTATGTTGACCTTCTGTAATATAACGCCCTGTTATTTTCCCTGATGAACTCTCTAGCATATCTGTAACGTTGTCCTTCCTTATCACCTTGTGAGAAATGCTGCTAATGTATGTAGCAATATGGCTGAGGGAGGATGGACAGAAACACCTGTCCTTGCTGATTTGTAACTCTTAGGAGTTAACTAAATTACTAGATGATGGGAAGCAATCCTGGTCTTTCATAGTGATGAATGTACTTTCATATCAGCTCCTAAGACCAAGATTCTAAACAGAAACGGATCCCAGATCTCCTGGAGTCACAAGTAAAAGAGGTTAGTTATTGCAAGTATGAGATGCTTCTACAGATTTTCTATGCTTGTTCTGCAGTAGCCAGCTTTTTGTTTTCTTACTTTCATTATCAAAATATAAGCAACTAATTTTCACTCAATTTTGCTCTTCTTTCTCCTTTTCCCCAGAAATTTTGCACAGACAAAAGATAGGAAGAAGTTTGCTCTTGCCTAAAATTGCATTGTGATATGAATGTTCTTCAACACATATTAAACATTACTAGAAGGACTGAATGTTCCTGGTGCTGTGCCATAAGCCCACACGAATTTATGTCTTTATTCTTGCTCTTTATTCCCATGCAATTATGTTACATCTTACTATTAATAATTTGGTATCCTCTTGATTCTTTACATAACGTGCTCTAATCTATAGAAGTATATCAGATACTCAGTTTTTGATCCCCTCCTCCCATGAGATTTTCTATTGAAAAAATAAGCAGTAGCTTGTATTAGCAATAAACATACAAGGAAGTGAAAGCTAAAAGAAATAGCAAGATGGAACACAAATGTATGAAAAATGAAATACTTTTCATTGTTTGAAACACCCGGGGAACACTTATTGGAAAAGTTTTATATGTGTGAACATGTATCCTCCTGCAACCTTCTCTTGCCAAGGCACCTTCGCTGTGATTTATGAAGGGCACAGGATCCACACAGAAAAAAGTAGCCACCTAAATAATCATACTTCTCTCTTCATCTTGTCATTTAAGAAAGTCCTTAATAAAATGTTAGTAGCAAACAATTTCAAATGATTTATTGATTACTTCAATGCTCAGGGAATCAAAGCTACTTCTACATAGTAATTCAAAACCTCATAGTCTCCCTTGACAGGTGTTTGCACTTCCGTCCATATTATCTCTGTGTTGTTCCCAGAAAACTCTTTTCTGTTTATAGCAATACATACCCCACTACTATATAGGTCTCTTCATGTTGGAAAGAAAGAAGGGAGAGGAAAATCCTAGTAGACAATAGAAAAATGAGTCCCATTTTCTTACTTACTTAAATCCTAATACGTGGATTTCTTTGAATCCTGGAAGTTTCTCAAATATTTTTGCATCTATAGAAAACCATAAAATAATTAGCTTGGTGTAAGTTCGACTACTAAAAAGCAAGCACAGGTTGACTACCTACATATTATTTTTCATATTTCAGAAAGATCTTTAGGAAACAGTCTCAATTGCCCTCTTTGTGGTATCATCATTGCTCAACTTGAACACAATATTTGATTTGTATATACTGCCTATATTACCTGTTAATAGGCAAAATGAAGTACAAAATCCAACTTTTTCTAGTAATGTAATAATTAGTGATAATCTAGTTCATAATAGAGCTAAGTCAATCAACACGAATCAAATGGTTTTCTAACTTTCAGCAGTTTTGGTTCATGAATAATTTTGTGATTCAAGTCATCTTAACTGTAAATTGTTAATTATTTAGAAATAGTAACCAAATGTAGGTGGATTTAGAGTATTTGACAAATCATTTATAAATTAAACAGTTTTAACTGTCTTGTACAAATAGAGTAACTTTATGTATTTTTAATCTTAATGTAAACAATTGTACAATTGTATGATTTTGAATAGAAGGGACAGTAAGAAGAATAAACAATGAGCGGTTAAGGTGAATTCTGTATCCATTTTTCAGACTTGTGGATAACCTGGGGCACCTAAAATGGCACCAGATATCCATGTTTAGGTAACTGAATCCCCTTTTAGCCATGTTCTGCCAGCTGAATGTTGGCATGGGCTCTGTTCAGTCTCTTCTTGGTTGTCTTTATATCATAATGAAGTTGACACTTTCTTTTAACTCTATGCACATATGTAGCTTCCTACTTCCTACTTTTGCCAAACGTATCTCGACTTACTGAGTAGCATAAGTATCTGAATCTGCATTCCAGTTCTAATGCGATTTTAAATGTATGTTGTGGTATACAGATGTACTTCTCAACACCTGCTCTGTGATGTTTACTGTAACTCTTCGCTCCTGCTGTGTCCTGCAGTGAATTAGAAACTGAGCTTGGAGCTGCACAGCCTCAACCTTCGCAAAGGCTTCTTTGGAATTTGTACAGGAGCTCATGTCCCTGGATGAGGTTTCAATTCTGAATCTAACCTCCTCACTCTCACCCTTGGAGCGCACTTGTAAAACTGCCTTGTATCCAGATTGCCCTCTGCCTCCTCCATGACATATCCTTGGAGGAAAATACATCAGGTGTATGTCATAGTACTGGACTACAGATAATTTTCCATTTAACGTTGCATTTCAAAAACAGCTTTGGACTTTTTAAAATGACAGATAAAATTTGATGGCAATGGAAAATAATTTAACAATCATGAAACTACATTTCTTCCCCTCTATTTAACGGAATAACTTAAAAGACAGGTTGTTGAATTACATCATTATATGTGTCATAAACAAAGTTTGAAGGCAGTTCTGTTTGAGCATAATACTGGAAATCTTCAGAGAAGCCACTTTTTATCAGCTCTGCCAACACATCCTTCACCATTTTTTTTATGCATGTCTGAAACTGAACTAGGATAGTGAAATAGCTTGCACTAAGGAATGCTTATGAAACTGATGAGAAGCTTTAGTTAATTTTACTAAAAAAACCTTTTGGTAACTTCAAGTCATTAACTGCTATCTGTTAAACTGATAGCTGAACATTCAGTTAATATTATTAATTATAGGAAAACACCACCGATATTTCAGTTCTTATAGAAACTATGGTAATGCACAGCAAAATGACTGGAAATCCTTTGAAGACTAGTTCAGACAACTGTAGCTAATTACTTTAACATTTATATTACATTTTTCATTAGGTTTATTGAAGAAATTAAATTATGTCAAAGTATTACCCATGAATTCCTGATTAAGCTTGAATGATATTGCTAAAGTTACTCTTCATCAGTTATATGAGGCTCTACTGACAAAGACATTGTCCTGTTACCTTGGTGGCTGAACAGATGGCCTAAATGTGGGGAAAAGCTGGCTATATGTGAAGGAAAACTGAAGGTCTTTAGAAAACAGGAATTACCTTTTTCATGTGAGGGCAGTAGATTCTAATTCCGTTTCATTGTAAAGGTAATTTCATAGTATGAATCTCAGACAAGGTACAAAGCCAACATTCTGGTCTTCACTCGGCCTCCTTACCTGTAGCTGAAATTTGGCAGCTAGTTGTCGGTACTGTGAGGAGTTGGGATCATTAAGTTCATCTGTATACTCTTGATCAGTGAGAGTGACACTGAATTCTACCATTTGTTCCACAGGCAGTTCTGGGACTGTATTTGTTCCCAGCTCCTGGAAAAGAAGAGGAGAGGAAAAAAAGGAGAGAACAAAACTAAGTGATTTTTTTCCCCCACATTTCAGTATTTAATAGGTAAAAGGGTTCCCTTTTAAGCCCATCCCCAAAATAACTTTCTAAACCATATACTACAAAAGTGAGAGTTCTTAGCCACATCTGTTAGCTTAATTCTTCTGTCTTTGCAAACAAGCTTCTACTACTGTGACTTGAGAGCTGCCCTTGATAGGCATAAATGAAGGTGATGAAGAGAATCAAGCCATTTCTTGCACAGTGAGTGTTACCAAGTCTTCTTATTTCCAACATCATTAAAGTCATGCAGCTTTACATGTCACTTTGGATGAAAGTGTGTGACCTCAAGGAGAATGACAAGCAAATGCTAAAAGCTAGTTGGTATCATACCCTCAGAAAACCCATGGTCAACCAGAGCAGACTGCCAGACTGTCTGTTATTGATTCATGTTCAGACATCTGCATTTGACTTTTTTCTGATAATAAAGTAGAATTAGGCCTACTTCTGTTACACCTTTCCTGTGCAGTTGACTTTACTGCTATTAAAAGTACTCTTATTTTGCTTGCTGTTTCCCGACACTATTCGCAGTTTTGGCCTACACTTACTAATTTTTTCCTTTAATAATGTTAAACTCCAAAAGCCAATTATTTTTTAGGTTACTGTGTGCTGCCCACAAGGAGGAAAGCCACTGTGGGGACGTTCAGAAGGATTTCCTAATTCATTTTAGATATAAAATTACACATTTGTTAATTTTAAGATCAGAAGGTATCTCTTGTTCCTTCTTCACAGAGCTGAGCTTCAGTTTTCAAGTCTTGGAATGCAAGTACCTGAAGAGGATGCAAAGAAGACACCCAGGAAACTTCTGCCTTCTGCCAATCTCTCAATCCTTCACAAATCTTGCTACTAATGTTAACACATACCATCCCTGCACTCTATTGTCAATGTATTTTATTACACAAAAAGGCCTTTTGTTTTTTTCTTAATAAAATCTTTCAAGGTGCTATACAGTTCACCTGTTAAAAATATGAAGGTCTTGGAACACAATGTAAATTCTTCTTTACTGCATGTACTGCATATACATTGTAAGTTTATACGTATTAACAAAATTACATATTTTGTATTCCTTAAACACTTTTTTACATTTTTAGTTGCTCAAGGACAATTCTACTCTCAGACAGGTTTTTTATACCTTGGATAAACAAACACAACAAGAGCAAGACAACGATCAAGAACAAACTGGCCCAAAAGAGCAACAAGCTCAACAACCTGAATCCCACAGACAAGGTGGGGATTCTACTTCTGCTGCCAGGTGGGTTGGCACAAGTCTGCCAGAGCATCTGTCCCATCCAGAACACCTAGGTTTTGATAGCTTCCAAGAACAAGAACAACAAGAAATATGTGCAATTACAGTATATCAGGGTATAAGAGAGAAAATATGTTAATGTAATAAAGAATGAGTGAAACAGGAGAGAACACTTTCTGCACCCATTGATTCTGCATAACTCAGCTATGCTATTCCTTAGGATGCCTCAGTTTTACAGGAACCTGTGTTTTGTGTTGTATATAAAATTATGGCTCATAGTTAGAGAAAGATCATTCTGTAATGTTCTATCATATAAACAGAAGATTAAGGAATATGTACTTTCTATATAGTTGCCCTATAAATTTTGAGGAGCCAGCCTTTAGAGAGCTGGTCACGAAGGAGTAGACTGAGAAAGAATGAGGAGAACTATAGCATGAAGGAACTGGTTAATGCCAGTCTGCTGGTTCATCTCAAATAAGCAATTCTGAAACCATTTTTCCCTCACATTCTATCTATCTGTTCTTACACTCCAACAGCTAAGATACAGGTAGCTAATACACTGTTGAGAATATTAAGATTATTTTGCCTTATTAGAACCTGAGGATATAATAATTTCAGGCAGTAGAAATAACATTTATCTGGAATCACTCCATGCAATTCCTCTGCTGGAGCTGAGAAGCTTGCAGAGGTGGGATGGAGAATGGTAGCAACTTGCCAGGGTGTGACGGGTGAGGCTTCGGACAGCATTTCTGGCCTCAAACTTCTGGCTGCAACAGCAACAGCACTGAGAGTTTGAGTTCACCCAAGTGTGGAAGAGGCAGCATGAGCCTCTTCTACAGTTGGTAAGCACAAACAACAACAAAAAAACCACTCAGAGTGGCTTTTTAGAAAAATTTTATAGAAAAAAAAAAAATATTGCAGAGCAAAGCAGAGGGGAAATGCAAGGGGCCAGCTCTACCTGGGGTTCCCCAGTAGCAGGCTCCACCCTAGTCCCTGGTGAGGCCTTAGGTGTCTCTCCAGAGGGAGGTTCCAGAAAGTTCCTGCAGCTGTGCTGAGGCCAGGGCCGCCTCCCTACCACCCCCGGGGCACAACAGCCAGGGGAGGGGAAATAACAGCCCCTCCTATCACCCCCACCCCTGTCTCAGGTGTAACTCGCAGCAGCTGCTGTAAACCCGTGGAGGAGGGGGTAGCTCTTGGTGCCACGTTGCATGGCTGCTCTGAGGAGATGTCAGCGGAGATCCCCTGTTTGACACCTGGCTGTCTGGCAACCGAAAGACAAGAAAGCCCAGTCCTATCCCCTGTGTTGCGGAAGGTATGCATTTTTACATTATTTAATGTAGAACAAGGTTACAAAATGATGCAAAGTAAACAATGGGCCCCTCATTAAAAGAATTAAGACTGCCTAAAAGCTGGTTGCTATATTTTTATACTTTCTACTGCATATGCAAGAAGCATTATGCACTATTCCAGTACAGGACAGGTGGTAATAAAACCCTTCAGTCCTAGTAGCAGTAACATCAGGAAGCACTCATGATTTATAAGCACAAATTGTTTATAAGGCTTCCCCCCTCTTTTCTGCTAGCTGAACTCAAAAATGAAGAGGTGAGTGGAAAAGTGGGATAGGAAAACAAGCAGCCCTCACCTTCACAGGAGTCTTCGTGTTTAACAATTTCGTTGAGCAGTGTGTTGTTAGGGACTGGTGCATACGGAGAGAGGGATGTGCCAGGGGAGCCTGTGGGGTTTAAAGTAAAATCAGGCAAGACAGGTTTTGCACAACAAAAATCTTCCCCTTTTTCTGTTGGTCAGGTGTCAGCTCCCTGCATATGCTTTCCTTATGGAGGGTGCGCTTCAGCGTTTGCCTGCGCCCGTGAAAGGTGGCATGGGTAAAGCTGCTACTTTCTATACAATAAACAGCCTTTCTTTTCAGGTCAAAACATCAGTAGCATTGCATGGGTGACTGATGGCAAAAATGGCACTGATTATACATCAATGAAATTGTTTGAATTAACTAATAATATTTGACCATTTCCTGTCATACTGCATGATATATCACCAAATGTCTCAGCTTGATTTTGGCAATTAAGATCTTTGTTTTTATAATGGCCACCTTTCTTTAGGGCTCAATTTAAAGTAACCAGGCTTTGATGGTGTTTTCCAGCTAAAGGCAAAATTACCATACTGTAAGTCTCTATCAATAATATGCTGTCATATTTGGACCTCATAAAAATATATGTGCAAGATGTTTCCTCCTTAAACCAAAATGCTCATATTTATGGATTTTTGTCACTGCATAAATCATTTTAAAGAACTGTATTACACAACAATATTGGTAGGTCTGAGTGGCATAATCTGCTCAACTTAATGTCTTGGCATCGCTGTGATTTTCTGTCTAAAGTAATGCTTTATTTTCATCCGCCTGCTTATTTTGCCTAACAATGCAGCAGCTGACACTCTAAATGTTATTTCATAACTGAAGCAAAATTAGCTCTGCTCTCTATAGGTGAATCTAGGAAAACATGCATTTGAAGACTGTGAAACAAACCTGGAATGCTACATTTGAGTAGCAGACATGCTGCAAAGAAATATAAAAAATGCTTCTTATAGATTATTTTGCTAAAGCATTTTCATTGTACTTCACTGAACTTGTCATGCTTCTACTACATTCATTAAATTACAGCCTTCTAAGATCTATGAATCACTGGTTGTAGCAATTCTATTTAATGGGCAGACGCAGAACAAGCAAATCTGATTTTACCTGTAGAAATGGAAGGAGTGTCTTCCATTTTTTTGCCACCTGTTTTCTCTGTGGGTATTTCATCTTTCCTATCAATCAAATAGAAATTAGTGATGTAATGATCAGCATGCTGTACTGGCAAAGGTGTAAAAAAAATGTAGAAATGACCCCTATATTAAGGGTATTTTGAATGAGAGAACCTGTTTCTAATGTAATATTAAAGCTGGTTAAACAGGCAGAGGAACAGTATATCATATTTTATATTCAGCAGTTTATATATTTCCTTTTCTCTCCTTCAATATGGTATTTGCTCTTACAATGAACAAAAATATTAATTTGACATGTTCTTCCACCAAGGACACCAATGCTGTCAGGAGTCTGCTCATGAGGTTTCACGAGTCATTTTCTCCAAGCAATTAAAGGGATGGGGTCACAGAGATTAAATCAGTGCACAAGGTCTGCTTTTTCTCCCTTTGAAACCTATGAATGGTTGACTGCTGACTAAAAAAACAAGACTTGTTGTACATTATCTAAACCAATTATTGTCTCCTTTGCTATATGTCATCCTATCAAGATAGTTCAGTGAGGGCTTTAGGCTTCTTCTCATTTTAGAGTCAATGGACATTTCATGGTTCCAAGGGTGTTTCATATGGTTTGGTGTGAGGAGAGGATGTGTGGGCTTATTTTTCAGCTGTCAGCCTGCATTATAATATCATAAGTATGCTTCCAGCTAATGATAGTTCCAAATCAGATTCCTGGATCAAGTTTATTATGAACTGTAGGAATGTTTATGTTTTGATCTGGATGTAATATTCATGGGCTAATGCCTACCATGGTCCCCATGGCAGACAGCTGAAAACTCAAGTACGAATATGGTGAGTGTGATGTACAGATTGTCTGCCTTGCATCACAGGATTTGTTTTTGTATTGTTGATACTATTTTCTGTCATAAGTTTTACAGTCATGTGCTGCTGAAAAAAATTTGTAACTGTGACTTTTAGCTTGCCTGAAAAGCAGAAGTGGTATATATATATATATATATATATGTATATATATATATGTATATATATATATAAATACATTTTATAATAGCTGTGTTAAAAGTTTCCTGCAGTTAAGGCTATAGAAAAATTTCTGTTCTAAAACCAAATTTTTATTAATTTCTAGCTTTTGGAAACTGTTAGATTCTTAGATAAGAATATTCTATGTAACATTTGGAGATTTTTCTTTCCTGAAATTGGGGGGTGAAGAATTTCAGTTGTTTCAGGTTCTAAGTAGAGTGTGGAAAAAACTCACAACATGAAATAAAAAGCCCAATCATGGAAATAAATGAGGATAGAATTCATCAAAATTTATATAGAAATACCTATTATTGAGGCAGTGCACACAGGTAGAGTGTGAAAACTGATATGAGTGAAAGAACTAAGGGCACTGCAAATGCATAGTGTGGTGTTAACTGAGACAACGTGAAGCTTGTAGCTTAGACAGAAAAGATTGCTGGGCTGCATTTCTGTACAGGACCAACCTAGATGTTTAATAATGTAAATAAAGAACATGAACAAATCCTGATTTACCACATCCTCTGGATATCTTGTGTGGTGACAACTAAAGTATTATTTTTAATGTTTTCACAATGTGTGTGTTGTCTAACAGAAGAGACTGATCTCTACATGGCATCTAGAGAAGATACAAAAGGTTTCCCAAGCCACACAGTAGTAAAGATGAAGTACAGCTTTGCGTAACCACAGTGGCCTGTATTTCCAGCTAAAATACAAGTAATTTCATAGAATTTACTTCACCTTCTGAATTGTGTCCAGGGAAAACTGTACTGTTCACAAAGAGCATAGGAACTCTGAGATCACTCATTTCACTTATTGCCTTGCTGCTGGTGTTTGCACTAGACTGAGTGAAAAGACCTCCCTTTGGACTTCCAGGGGAGTTTAATTAGGCCCTACATTATTAAAAATACATTTCTGAGAAAGAAGAATACTCAAAGCTCACGTTTTAATGAATAAAGTTACATAAGACCTCTGTGATCATAAGAAAGTATAATGTATGAATGGAAAAGATTATTTGGTACACCTGAAAGTCTAAGAAAATTTGAGGGAAGAAGTAATGCATCAGTCAGAGAAATTGTGGACAGTGATTTGTCTGGTTATGCTATAGTGTTTATATGCAGAGAGACAGAGTTCAGTAGTGCAACTTTAATCTTGCCATTCTCAGACTTCTGAGCATTGACAGAAGCAGACTATTTTTCCAAGAGTTTACAGAATAAAGCATCACATTATTTAACACTATCGTGACATGTAAAAATACAGGAGAAAGCTAAAGTGAAGGTATAGAGTTTTCACATTATTGCTTAATGTTGCTTCTCAGATAAAATTTTAAGTTCTCTGGTTTTCCTCTTGAGAATTATAGCAATTGTGGGTAATCTTTTGTCACACTCCAAATCAACCCTAGTCTAACGCAAAGCCCTGGTGCTGTCAGAGCTTTATGCTCACATTGATCTAAGAAGACATTCTGTGGTGTCTCAGGGGGAATAGGCAACTCAGATGTTTGGCCACCTTCATTATTTGTGATTCAATTACTGTGTACTATGATACATACAGTACACACATCTCACAGCACACACCAAATACACCACAGTGCTATCTGTATATCTGTTCACAACCACACACACATACACTTATCTTTTTCAAAAAGGCAGTAACATCAAGTGGCAAGGTTCTACTTGTACTACTTACCTTTCCGGGAAGGTTCTATGTTTTACTCGCTGCGAAAAGATTAAGAAAAACAGCATTTTACTAGTGGGTGTATCCAACCATTGAGCAGAAGCCTGTTAGCTCTTTTCTTTACTGCACTTTTATGTTTTCCTTCTAACACATGCCCCCTCCTCTTCCTGAGCAATATTTTACCCTTATATAAGCAGATGGGGAGGGATGTGGAAGTCTCCCCCAGTTTCTAAACAAATGTCAGTAATCCTTACCCGCTGGATTATTTCCAGGTGCTCTTGGGAATTGCTGAAGTTTTTGCCAATGTCAAATATGCAGAAGGTTTCCCTCTGGCAGGCAGTAACCCAGTTCTGATATTCAGAAGTATCAGGAATCCGATCCAGAAAAATACGAAAGGCTTCCCACACAGCTTCCTGGCAGACTGAGTAAGAAGAAAGGGCCTGAGGATGGATGCTTTGTACCAAAAAGTAAACTTGAAAGCCTTTTTAAAGTGATTTGGGATTTACACATTTTACTGTACTTAATAAACAAATCCAGCTTCTAGGCATTTTTAGATATTTAGGTCTTTTAGGTACTTTTGAGTTGACAGTCATTTGCCTTTATGCTGAAGTATTAGCCATCTTTGAGTTAAGGATTGCTAATTCCCCTCATTTTAAAAGAGAGATTAATTTTTTCTGACATCATCATCAAGAATAAGAAGCAAACACAAAGCACACTTCCTTCACCTCAAAGGTACATACATACAAAGACACATACTGGATGTTCTAGTGAGAGCAAACAGGGAGGTAGAGAAAAAAACTAATCTAGCAGTCATTATACTTGAATAATCATAAATTTAACTGTATACTAAAGTTTTGTATATTAGTAAACTATGCATAGAACTAGCTAAACAGAACATAGTTAAGATTTTGATGTTTCCTCACACATATAAGAAAATATTTTAATGGAAAAAGTATTTCTTAAATGCAGCAGGCTAAAATGATCTCGTTATATTCCAAATTATCAATGTAATTAGTCCTTTCAAAATCTTAAGGACATTCTGCATCAGGTACATGTTTTTTTATGTTCTTTAAATACCTCTGGAAAAATGGAATGACTTAGTACAGGTAAAATTCCTTCAGAAAGAACATGATATCCTTCCTCTCTACAAAACTGTACACAGTCATTTGTCCAGTGCTAAATATCTCCTCCATAGTGATGAATCACCCAGTTAAATTCCAGGCTACATCAGACAGGATTAACAGGTACTGTGGCTGCAGAGAGAATGGTAGCGTTCTGCATCATTTGAAGAAATGAAATGAACATAAAGAGAATAAGGCAGTGGGGTTGATTTTGATAAGGTGGTATTCAGGAAAGAGTCTAAGGGAACTTCGTTTACTGGATGCAGACTGACTTAATTATGTGAGATTATGTAAAACTCATAATATAATAATGGCTCCTTATGCAAGAAAAGTGTGAACTTCAGCTGTAGTATGTTACAAAATATATTAGAATGCATATTTGGGCTTGGCATCCAGTTTTTTGACCTACTTTCTAGCAGTCAGAACTGTGTCAGGCATTTCAGGGGGAAACTTGTAAAAGATAATTTCCTGTTGCAAAGACCTTGCTCTAGCACTGTGAGTGAGGATGATGACATGCATGAGTATGTAAGGGAAAGGAGAAAGCAGCAGCAGCCAGGTTATAAAATGATTTCTCGGAAATACTTTACAGGGTTTACTTTTTCTTGTTGATTCGGGTAACACAGGTCTTAGATATGTCTGCAGAAGTGAGTTTTTGAGAGTCACAGGTGGCCAGGTAGAGCTACACTTCCGATAGCACTTTTACCAGCATCTTGCTGAAGTCTTCTCTATTTTTGTAAGTTGAAACCATTTCTAAAAGATTCTGGAGGATAAGCTGTTCCCTCCTCCAGATGGCTACTGCCTACCTGACTAACAATTCTAATATGTCTTTGGTTTTATGTTCAGAAACCAGCCCTTCCCCATACCCATAATATTTGGGTTTCACTTAACTCACTTTGCACAGACTCAAACAAAACATAGAATTCCTCCTGGCTGTACCTAAATCATGTTTAAAATCACTGAGTAGTCCAAAGAACGCCTCAAGCTAGCACAGAGCCAGCCAGAAAGTGCTGTTCTGTGTGGATGTCCTGGGTTAAGTGAGTGGTGCGATTTTTTTTGGTGGCAGGGGAGGGGGCTATAGGGGCGGACCCCTGTGAGAAGCTTCTTGAAGCTCCCCCAGCTCCAAGTCAGCTCCACCTCTGTTTGGAAACTGAGCCAATCAGCTGTGCCTCTGCGATAATGTATTTAAGAAGGGACATGGTGATGGGGAGTCAGGCTTGTGAGGAGGAGTTGCTGCAGCTGCGTGAACACAAAGGTCAGTGAAGGAACGGAGGAAGAAATGGGGGGGGGGAGGTGTGCCGGAGCAGAGACCCCCCTGTATCCTGTGGTGAGACGGCAGGGTGGCCTCCCCTGCCACCCATGAAGAACTATGGTGGAGCAGACACTGATTTATGGCCTGTGGCTTCTGCCTGGATGATCGAGGTGTCTGTGCCTGAAGAAGGCCAGGGTCTTGTGAGAAAAGGTAGCCCCACTGCTGTAATTCAGCGCTGGGAGGATTGCAGCATGTGGGAGTGTCCCACGCTGGAGCAGCTTGGGAAGGGCTGCAGCCGTGGGAGGGAATCCAGTTGGAGGAAGTCTGTGTTCCACACTGGAACAGTGTAAGGAAATGCTGCAGCCCATGGGAGGAACTCATGTCGGAGAAAGTTTGTGGAGGACTGTCTCCTGTGAGAGCGGGACCACGATGGATCAGGGGGAACAAGTTCCTGAAGCTCCCCCCGCAAAGATGGAAGAAATGGCAGCACTGACTGCACCCCCCATTCCCTGCCCCTGTGCCACTGGGGGAGGAGGTAGAGATATCGGGAGCAGAACTGAGCCCAGGAAGAAGGGAGGGGTGGGATGAAGGTGTTCTCAAGATGTGGCAGTGCTTCTCACTGTCCTACTCTGTTAAGTGTTGTTAGTGTCTGTAATAATGTATGTTCTTTTTTTCTTCCCCTAATGAGTCTGCCTTTTGCTTGTGACCATAAAGGGTGTTTTTTCCCCATCCCAGTCCTATCTCGAACCCCAAGCCTGGCTCTCTGTCTCTTCTTATTGCCAGAAGAGAAGGGAGAGAGAGAGGCTGCGTGGTGGTTGGCTGCCGACCAGGCTGAAACCACGACAGTGGACTTTCCTGCTTAACTGCAGAAATACTTACACAGGCTGTCCTCTGCAGGGTCTGTGAACTGCAGCATGGCTCCATGGCTGCTAGAGACAATGTTTTTTGAACAGAACCAGTTCAGTTCATCTTAGCTGTCACTATACCTTCCAATTCATGGGTGAGGGTGACTGCCTTTACCACTACTCATTGATTCCTCTGGTACAATTACAGTCAACAAAGACAACTGTATTTTTGGTTTCATGAAAGTATAACATACGCTCACTCAAGGTGAAGGAACACACTTCTTTGAAATGTTGTTTAAAGTTAAATTCTTTTAGAGAAGGGGATTTGCAAACATACTAGAAAAAGTATTTTGACAAAAACTTGCTAGCAATTTAAAAGCTGTTGCCTTTAGCACTTTATTTTGCAAAGTTCATTACTGGGAGGTGGGACATTTATTTCCAGCACCCGATACCTGCTTTGACTTAGAGATAATTATCTGCATTATCTAAAATGTCGATGTCTCTGAAATTAGTGCAATCAGTTTCTCTAGGTATTCTCTAAACTTGCTGTAGGGATGTACTCACCTAGCTGTGTTAGGGCACCTCAATAATACCTCAGGAGCGACCTGCCCTCCCAGTAGAGCAGCTGCATGTGGAGCAGATGTGGTCAGATTATTAAATAGGAACAGGCTGTCTTTTGAAGATCTATATTCATTATGAGCTAGCAGTTAAGGCTACTTTCTATCATCTTTTTCTCACAACTCTCTGGTATCTGTTTTTCTGAGCAGTAACTGCTGAATAATGATATACCATCTGATGAAAAGTCATCTAGTTACCAGGGTTTAGATAAACATGACACATGGCCAGCTGAGGAGGCATCATAGCTGATTCCCTGCATGCTCCCCGTTTCCCCCACACGAGGGACTGTCTTCATGGTGTCTTAAGCTATGGTGTGTTATTTCAGAGTTGGTATAGGATCACAGTAGTCTCAGGCTATCCAACAGCATCTGTCTGAGATCCTATATCTGAGCTGCTTTGTGTTGTGTACTCATTCCTGAAAGCATAGAATATATATATATATACATATGTAAAAAAAAAAAAAAAAAAAAAAAAAGTGTAATTTTTCTTAGGAAGCAGTAAAATTATCTAGAGGACAGATAAGATCAGCAGTACTGTTACAGTTCTAAATGTGTCATTGGACTTGGAGGGGTGGAAGTGGTCTCCTAGACTTCAGATATGGAAAAGAAGAGACCTAAAGGTATGTCTACAAAAGAAAATGAAGGTAAGATTGTCTCACAGGTAGGCACAGGCTGTAAGACTCCAGCATGGCTACCAGATTATGTCTCCATGAAGGCTTGTACTGTGGTTACAGCTTAAAGGATAATGCTTGCATCACCACATTTGCACTTCTACCTTTTTTTTTTTTTTATTTATCACTTTCATCAGGTAAATTAGCATGCTCAACTGGGAGGGCAGAAGTCATAGGTACTGATCTTTCCTTGAAGAAAAGATTTTTTGAGGTTTTAATGAAGGACATTGTAATGGAAAATGTGCAACTACTCAAGGGAGCAGAAACACTTTTCTCTGAATAAGTGTACAAATTGTCCAGCTGCAGTCATCTCTTTTCTTGCTTTTCGGGAAGTACTCTAGCTTTAAGAACTGGATGACACCTAATCAGAGAATTTTCTGAGTGTAGAACACTCCGCTGGTAGAGGAGATGTAAGTTTAAACCTGCTTGCACTACAAGATTTACAGAGCCCAACATCCCAGCTGTTGTGCTGCTCTCCAAAAAGGTGGTAGCACTGTCATTATCAGTTTTTAAACAAAAATATCATAACTGCAGTTCTTCGAGTTCAGGTCAATGATACCAGCCTGTCTCAGGATACCTTGTTTTCAGTCTAATCAAGGATGTGACCAGTAAGTTTTAGGGACTTTCAGGATTAATTAGTATTTAAGAAAGGCTTTTTGGATCAGCCTCTTCAACACTTTTCAGGATTCTGTCTAATGCTCATTGGGTTGGAATTCAGTCCCACAATGGATACCAGATATATTTGTATATATAGGAATGGCTACAGACATTGGTGTAGTTTGCTCATGCTGCCTATAGCAAGTGGCTGCTGAAGTAAAATTTTTGCAGCTTTAATTTCAGAGGGAACCAGCTGGTTCCCTGAAAGAGAGCTGAGGAGCAGCCAAGTTATGTACGCGCATGTGAATGGTTGGAGACCAATATAGAGGACAAATTGATTAGTAAATTTGATTTAGAGAGTTGATGTTGCCTTAGATACTTGCATCCCAGAAGTGCTGACTAGGTTTTAGAATTAGCTTTGGACTGTCTAGATGCAGCACAAAAATATGCACTTTTCTAATACAAATTGGAACAGCCACAGAATATAAGACTGGGAGAAGTAGAGGAAGAAAGAGAGGAAATGAAAAACCTGGAGGGCTATTTACACTGTGCTCTCTAGGGACCTAAAATTGGAGCAGTAACTCTAAGATCTCTATGGTCAAGGGAGGTAAAGAAAGGGCTGGGGAGAGAGTGAATTAATTGGGAAATATCAGAAAAATCATTCTAGACTTTTAAAATATAGGACTAACATCTTTGCATGAGCTGCTGGCAATTATTGGTATTTATTGCATACCAACACTGCCACGGACTTAATATAACTACAGATACACCAACATATTTGTGCAGTGACCGATAAATAGTTTCATTACTTGTCTTGAGCTGGTGGTGGGATTAATTCTGAGTAGCAGTTATGGTACCTGCTACACTTTTGAGAAAGGTAGTACAACTTTTCAAAGTAGTGCAAGCATCATTTTTTCTTCACATTCTGCTGTGCTAGAACACTATGCAATTGCACTGAGATCATTAGTCCTTTGAGTGCATTGTTTTATTCTGTTTTGGTAACTGTCTGTCTTGAACCATGCTGATGTACATGTAACATTTGATTATCTATGTAAAAGTAAAGCATAAAGCAAATAGCACATATATTGCCTAGAGCTAAAGAACAAGATTCTGGAAAATTACTGTGTTTCCTAATTAAAAGAAATAGTTTCAAGGAGGGAGTACATGCTACAGTCATCATTTTACCTCTTAATCTATAGTAAGCTTGGTGACTGTCTAAAATCTGCTTCACTGATTCTTGCGGACAAACTTTCACACCAGTTGAGAAAAAAGATGACCTCTTTGTTCGGTGTTTTGCCATGTCAAATATCCTCCTTATGGTTGATACTCTGGACCTCTTTGTTGTTCTTTCTGTTTTGTCTGGCCCTGTTGCATCTGCAAGATGTTTGGCTTCACCACGGTTTATTTTATTAGGGATTTCTGGAAAAGATAAAAAGTAAGCATATACTTAAACATATATTGCATAGGCAGTATGCAAGATCATTTCTGGAAAATGGTCATGAACCTGAGAGTTATTTTTGTTATATTTTACCGGTGTCTGAATTAATGTTGTGAGGAGAAACATTCTGTGATCACACAGGGGAAATGGAACTCAAGAGACTTGGTATTTAATTTCCTTACATCTCAACATATGACCCCAGGATACACAGGGTAAAAGTTTCAGAAGCCCTAAATCTTGTTTTCAAAAGCAAATTTGGGTTAGAGCCACAAAGGACACTTAAGTGCTTGAACTTCGTGCTACACCATCTTGTTTGTGAGCATATCACTCTGTAGGGAATTTACAGTACAGTGATAAGTAATAGTCTGGAGCTTGGGGAAAGTGAAGCATATCTGTATCAGCTGACTGCATAAAAAGATGTTTATGCCAGCAGATAAGTAAAATGAGTAATAGATATACCTTAAATCTGCACTCTTTTAAGATATTCTTATATTTTCTTTGGGCTTCAAGACACATATCCCTTCACATCAGGTTCAGTCATGAACTCTTCCCAAGAACTGGACCCTGAAAACACTTTATTTGAAAAGCTGAACAGAAATTTAATTGTCTTTTGAGAATGAAAGAGTTGTTCCCAGTCTTCTGCTTTGACTCCACAGAGTGCATTCCTCTATCTTTCCCTCACATAAACTGAAGTATTAATCATAACAAGATGCAATTATGTTTCTTTGCCACTGGATGATAGGTGTTATGAACAATCTGGCATTGTATCTCAATAGAACTTTATCTGTTCCTGGCATAGTAAAACAGCTACAGTAGAAAAAAGTTAAATCCGTGAGTGGGAATTGAAGATCTGGGCTTAAGTTTTACTTATGGAACTGTGCAGTTGTGAAAAATGGAAGTGCTTCTAGGGTGTCAAAATAGCCTCAAGCACAGCACCTAAAAAGCACACAAAAATTCAGGACTTATTTAGTTCTACTTCCTAAGTATTTGTGATGCAATATTACATGACGTAGCAGCTAATTTTAATGTAAAAATGATAATGATAAAAATAGCATGTAAGGTACACATTTAAATGATCTGAAATATGGCATTTTGCAGGATCATGTGACAGGAACAATTAGTATCTTTTAGAATATATTCCAAAATTTTGTATACATATTAATAAAGATGTTAAAGTTAATTTGGAAGTATCTTTTTTTGGTTATATTTTCATTCATTTGATACAGTCATTACAGATGAAAAATAAGGAAAAATGTAAACAGAATAAAAGACATTTTGAAAGAAAAGTATAAAATTTGCAGATAATTGGAAAACTTCAAGGGAGAAAATGTGAGAAAAACATGATATATGTGTGCCTGAATGATGACAAATCAACTGAAAAAAATTGCTTTGAAGAATGGCTTAAAAACTTGTAAAAGAAAAATAAAAGGAAATGATATGGTTCAAAAGAAACAAGTTCAGTAAGAGTAATACTATCAAAAAAAGTAAGAGCAAAAAATTATCAGTTTGCCAGAAAAAGAAGAAACGTCATGCTGCATATAGCAACACTAAATACTAATTATCATGTCCTTAGGCAAATCAAGAGAAAATAAGAAAGGTAAAGACACATTATGTTGACAATTTGGAACTGTGTTAATTAAACGTTTAAAGAAAAGTGGACAGATAAATGGTGAGAGAAAAATAATTGAAAAGCATACTGTTACAAAAAAGAATAGCACTTGAAGTAAAAAATGGAAAAAGTTCTACCAAGTATGTCAGTGTATATATATGTGTGTGTGTATATGTCTCAGTTCATATTTAACTTCAGACTGAACATCCAATGCTTAGTGTGTAGAAAACATAATAATGCCAAATATATTATGATATGGAAGAAAGTTTACTGCTTGATTGTTAAGGCTATTCTATGAGAGACCGGGATTTATACAATGAAGGTAATGTGATTGTTGTTGCTTTGTAAAGCATGCCAGAGGCAGCAACCTGTAGGCCTATAGCTGTCTAATTGTTGCAAAGTAATTTAAAATGATCATGGAATCATATAGTGTTTGTCATTAAATGAAATAGAAATAATTCTTCCACAGTAATGTCAGATCATGAACCATAAACTACATAAGAGGAATTTCCCCTGTGAAAACATGGCTCTGGGTCCATCAGAAACCACAAGTGGCCAAACACCAAATCAGTTGAGACACTGAGTTATCTGAATGATATATGTGGTGAGAGCAGAAGATCCAATGCCACTGAAATCTCAAAGCAGACCCCTGAAATCCTTTAGAAGAAAATACCAAAAATCTGTATGGAGGGTAGCCAGTTGTAAGCCTATTATTTTTTACAAGGTGTATTACCTGTGATAGACCAGCTGCCCGGGCAGGCTGAACAACCGGGGCAGATGATTTGGTCACTAAGCTCTTTGATAGCTTTTGTATGGAGCTGCGGCCTTTCTTGAAGGATTTGCTTCTTCCCCAGGATTTAATCCTAAGTCATTAACTTGAATTAAGAATTACACTATTCATAAGTACGACAAAGGAGATGCTTCTCAAATGTTTGTTGTAATGGTTTCAAACTCTCTGTGTTAGGGTCACTATTTGGGCTTTTCAGTCTGAGAAGGTGACCATACATTATGTGCTTCCTGTTATCACTGTTCTGCCGGCCTATTCAGGGTAGGTATAATTTTTTTCTCTTTTCATTCTTTCCCTTCAATTTCCAGCTTTTTTTTTTTTTTTTTTTTTTTTTTTTTTTTGTGGGAGGGATCTGTTGCTTAAGTATGCTTATTGTAAGAGGTTTAGTTTCATTTATATCTTGTGGTTAGTAAATTTCCCTTACTAGAGTAACTTTTATTATCATCAGTTCTTTAACTCACTTTTTTACTAAACTTACACAAAATCTGAATTGGAGAAAGCATCAGCCCCTCTCTCCATGTGTTTGTCTAGCAGTGCTTTCCCCTGTGTCTGTGGAAATTCTATATTGAGAATTTTTTACTAAGACTCCCATATGGTTCAGCCATATACTTTACTATAATATGCCTCCATCTACAACTTTTTTGGATGCTTTACTTTCAATGTCCTGAATTGAAAAAAATAATCTGAAAAGACCTGTGCTATTATGAAATTGAACCCATATATATTACTGATCCCTTTTCTTTTTGCCATGCAACATAGTAATCAAATAAATTGCTGTGGTGAAAATTTTACAGGGCACATAATTTGATTATGTAAAAAATGCAAACAATATTAGGCTGTTTTACTTTTCTTAAGTAATTTTTGTAATTTTTTTTGTTCTCATTCTCTTTTCTAAAACAAACGTATGCAATTAATATATCTAGTGTTTATCCTGCCCAATTTGAACTTTTTAACTCGTTTCACAAAGCTGACTGTCTCAGTTTTACCTTGAAACGGTATGTCTGAGATTTTTAGTTTTCTTTAATAGTTTTAGGGCAGAAGGTTAGATAACTGTCAAAGTCTGGTAACATTTTACTGTACTTTAGCTTAATCTCCAGAGTGCCTTAAACAAAGCTGTAACTCTCCTTTATTTTCACATGAAAGAATCTGCATCATTGTCCCCATTTTCCGGGTGGCATACTTAAGGAAAAAAGTTGAGGTAGTTTTACCAAGGACATCTACAGAGTCACTGTCAGCCATTATTAAAATCTGGAGATCCTGACCTCTGGTCCTGAACTTAGACAAATATAACCAAAGATTTAAAAAAGTTAAAACCATTTTCAAAATATGTTATAACAATCTTATTGTACCTCAAAGCTGGTGTCTACACACCCATCACTACCTCACCTTTCATGTGCCTACTAATATCTTGTGTTATGCTAGACTCAGCATCACCTACATGTCAGGGAGGAGCTAGGCCCTGCCTGTGCAGTGGGGACTTTGTACTGAAGACCAAATTCATCTGATCCTTGTACCTCTTGCTTGGAATCAGCAAGACAAAACATCACCCACACAAGTTCACAAGCTCTCTGTGACATAGGAGAGGAGCTCCAGGCTCTTGCTTAAATGGTAAATTCTGTAATTTTCAACCTTTTCAAGACTATGTTCTTGTTCTGAATTAGATCTGTATCGAGGCATTTTCCTTTGTGAGAAATCAGGAAAGTAGTGGGTTTTTATAAATCCTACTTCTTGGCAGGAATGCATGATGATGCTCCTTTAAACATTTATGGAAGATGAAAAATTTAGTTACTGTTAACGTAATACTCAAATATGGCAAGGCTCCCATTAATCCTTATGTGAATTATTCCTGTTGTTTTCCTTGTATTTAAAAATACTGAATATTTGGTTATAATGAAACAATCTACACCTCATAACAAATATGGAAATAAATCTGGAGAAGAATTTGATAAATTATTTTTAAATATATGATATAGCAATGACAGTAGTAAATATCTAAATTTTAATAGAAGCCCCAAAACCTTTTGTTTTAATGCTGTTACATTCAAAGCTAGGAGATAGCATTAGATAATGGTTCTTTTACAGAACCCTTTAAATTAACCTGGATTTGCATTTCAATACCAAGGATCACTCTTGTTATCAACAAATGTGTTTTGGAATTTTAGTAAGTTTGAAGAATTTAATTTCTGCAAATAAGTAAAGCTGAAAATCTAAAATAGATATCATAATCTCTCAGCTGTTCCCCTCCCAGACACTCACACAAATCTGTGTGGTTTTCTGTGTCAAGTGAAAAAACACAATTGTTAAATCAACCAACTTCAGAAAGAAAGCTAAGAAGATAAGTAAAAACAATTTTAATGATATTTACATTTAGGCCTTATAACAGACAAACATAACTTTTTCTCCCTCTCTAAATAGACAGCGTGATAACTTCTTTGAATTATGCTAACTATACAATTCATGGCAAAATAACTATGGTGAATTACCTACCTATTATTCACGAGAATAAAAAACATAGTATACCATTGGTAAGATTCTCCGGCTTTTGTGAATATAGTCATCACATATTGATTAACAATGAAACCATG